TGCAGGGGGGTCTCCCCAGAGCAGAGCAGAGCGCAGCAGAGGGGCACAGTCCCCCCTCGCCCTGCTGGCCACGCTGCTGGGGATGCCGCCTGGGATGCGGCTGTGCCAGCCGTCACGCCGCTCCCCACGGTCGGGGCGATTATAGGCCACAGCCTTTTTTGATCACAGCGGGCAGGGAGCCAGTCCCAAACCACGCAGCGTGTGCTGACAGCCCACTCCTTACCCCAAACCCGGCACAGGAACAGCTGTAACGGACCGTAACAGGGATGTTACGGGAAAAGGGTGTGCTGCCTGCATGGGTCTCGCCCACCTCTGGAATAACCTGTGCGCCTTCCTTACTTCTTTCGCTTTGCAGAGGGGTGGCTGGAGTCACAGAGTCACAGAATCACAGACTGGTGGGGGTTGGAAGGGACCTCTGGAGATCATCTAGTCCACCCCCCCACCAGAGCAGGGTCACCTACAACAGGTTGCACAGGACGGCGTCCAGGCGGGTTTGGGATGGCTCCAGAGTGGGAGACTCCCCCACCTCTCTGGGCAGCCTCTGCCACTGCTCCACTACCCTCAAAGTAAAGAAGTTCCTTCTCATGTTAAGATGGAGAGTCCTGCAGCTGCCTCTGCCCTCAGTTCGGAGCAGTCGGGCTCCTGCAAACCTCAAACACCGCTTATCTCTCTCTTATCGCTCTGCTTTGTGACGTATCGGGACCCAGTTTAGAGCTGAATTTATGGTAGTTTCTCACCACGGCACCGAGATATCTCGGTACCTTAGTTTCCTCAGCAATATCCAGCAGCATCGGTCCCCAGCGATGTCCTCGCCTGCTTCGGGCTTGCACCCCCTGCTTTAATGTCCTCCTCTCCCACAGCCTGATGGTGCGTTTGCACGAGGCCCTCAGGCAGTGCCAGGACCTGAAGACTGAAAAAGGCCAGATGGACCGAAAAATCAACCAGCTCTCCGAGGAGAACGGGGATCTTTCCTTCAAGGTACGGGGTGCTGTGTCTTCTCCGTGTCCCCACAGCCCAGTCGCTTGGTGGGGTGGGAGCCAGGGAAAGGATTTGGTGGCAGTGCTGGACGCTTACATCTCGTGTGACCTTGACCCAGTGACTGAGCCTGCTTTGGGCTCCAGATGCTGATCCGAAGGGGAACCGTGGTGGGAGAAATAGGGGCTGGGTGGAGTTGCCTGCAGGAGGTGCTGCAGGTGCATGGCGAGAGCACCCAGGACCTGGGATGTCCGTGGGTGCCGCAGCGCTCAGCGCTCGGGAGCGGGGAGCTGAGCGGAGCCCTGGGCAGCGTGGGCACGCTCTGACCTTTCTCTGGGACTGGGGATTTTTCCCCTTCACAGCTGCGGGAGATCGCCAGCCACTTGGTCCAGCTGCAGGAAGCCCTGAACGAGCTCTCAGAGGAGCACAACGCGGCCATGACGCAGTCGCAGGAAAAACAGGGGCAGCTGGAGAGTGACCTGCATGCTGCCCTGCAGGAGAAGGTGAGGGGGCCCCGAGGTCCCGCCAGGGCGGTGGGTGCCGGCGTTGAATAAAGCCGGGTGACTGCACCCTCCCCTTGCCTAGTTCCCTCGCACCGTGCTCAGTCCCACATCTCTGTCCCCAGAAATGCTCAGAAGAGAAGATTGAGATTCTCCAGGGGAAGATTTCTCTGCTGGAGGACCAGCTGGCCAAGCTGGGGGACTGCGGCGCCCAGGAGAAGGGAGAGGTCATGGGGGATGTCCTGAAGGTATGGCTGGGTCTCGGGAGAGCAGGCAGTGCTCGGGTGGAGAACTCTGCTAACCGGGGAGAGCGGTGGGTGCTGGGGGGCGCACGGCAAAGCCGTGTGGGGCAGAGCTGTTGGATGGGGGTTATGGGGCTGAGCACCCTTTTGTGCCCAATTTGGGAACGCCAATCCCGGGTAGCTGCTGGCTCCCCAGCCTCCCCTCGCACGGGTCGGTTGTGGAGGGAGCAGCTCCTGCACGGTGAGACAAGGCGTTCGGTCCGAGAGCACAGAGCGGCACGAGGGGAAAGCGGGGTGCGCTGGGGTTACCGGGAGGGAAGGGAAGTGCCGGGTCGCAGCATGCGGGTCTCTGGGGAAAGAGCTGGATGCAGCTGGAGTAATGGCTGGGGGTGTGTGTGTGTGTTTTCTTTCCCTCCCCTCCTCTTCCCTCTGCCAGCTGGAAGAGCTGAAGCAGGAGGTATCCAGCCTTGCTGCTAAAGGGGCCGAGCTCCAGGCCACCGTCCTGCGGCTGGAGGAGGAGAAGCAGCAGCGGGAGGCAGCCCTGCAGTCCGAACGCGGCCGCTTTGAGGAGGAGAAGCGGCAG